TGGATGGTATTTGAAAGTATTCTGAGACATGGGCGCAGTGAGACACATAAAGAGGCTGTTGCTTTTGTAGGGAAAAGAGTTCTTGCTTACACCAGTCTTGCCACAACAGTTGAGAAGGAAGTCACCTTAAATGAGATGGCAATGGAATTAGAAATGACATGCTTGTATTGGTTATGCAAAAGGGAACTTCAACATACAACCAACTATGTTCCTTTGATGAACCTGTGTAAGTTTGATTTTAAGTGCTTAAAAATAATGCTCCTTTCTAATATTATTTCAAGATATGTATTTTGAGAAAATATGGTTTTGAATGTATTATTGTGCTGTGCCAGGCCTAAACATCTTAAATAAAAAAAAAATCTTTTGTCAGGCAAAGACCTTGGTGTTGATGTCATGAGTGCCTTGATGGTTGGAAAGAATGCAAAGTACACGTCTGAAAGATTTACCCAGGAAGCATTGATGTCGTTCAAATATATAGTAAAGAGCTAAAAAAATCACCCTTCTACACTGTAATGTTTGATGAAACAACTGATGTATCTGTTACGAATGAGTTGATTCTCTATATGAGGTACAAATTCTTTAAATTTTAGATAGTTACTGATTTTTTTATTTTCTTAAATTACTCACTTTTCAGCCACTTCTTTCATTGAAATACTAAAGATTTGTTTTTTGTTTCAGATTTCTTAAAAATGTCAAAAGCTCTACTCATTTCTCAAAAATGATTGGACATTTTGACGGAAATGAAGCAACAATTAAGAGTGCCATAGTTCAAACTCTGGAAGAGATTGATGTGCCACTGGAGAAGATGTGTGCTTTAGGTAGTGATGGAGCATCTGTCATGCTTGGTAGAAAACAACTTTTTGTGATGTTTCATATAGTAACCTTGATTTTGGATTTCCTATCGAAAGACACTTCTACGGTCCCCGTCATGGGAAAGGCCAATCAGATTGGGCTGGGGCAGTCGTAAAAAGTGTGGTAAGAAGAACTGTGCTAGGGGGAAATGTTATTATAAAAAATGCAAGAGACCTTGATGATTTTTCCACAAAAAAATTGAAAATTGACTCTGATAATCGCATAGTAATGGATAATAACCCTATTCTTTTTCCACAACTGTACGTAATACTTTAGAATTCTGCTGTATACTTTGGCTGTAGTTCTGTGAACATAGCAGTTGGCTTTGCAAATTACATATATGCTGGGCACTAGAGTGTACATGCTGTTAAAGAACTGTTAAGAAAATGCACTTCAATTGCTATATTTATCACGTAACGTTACCGAAATCCATTAATCTGGGTATTTTGTAAATGCTTTGGAGTCAATTTCTGGACTCTTTCATCTAGGTTAACATACTCATTAATTTATAATGGTTATGAAACAGAAACATACGGAGAAGATTAAGGTTCATAGGTCAAAATTGACGGAAGACCAAAAGAAGAAAAAGACCGGGAACAAAGTAAACTAAGAATGCGAAAATATAGGGAAAGAAAAAATCCATAATGATGACAATAAATCAGTTGAAACTAGACAATATCAGAAGAAGAAACTTCAAAAACAAAGAATATATAAACAACAATGGATAAATAACCTATCGTCAAAGAAAAAGAAAAAAACATCAGAGAGAAAGATGCAGCCTGTAAACGTACAACAACGATGAAGAAAGACAAACGAGCTTCCAAAGTGTCCATGAATTTTACTGCATTTAATACAGAAGCAGTATACTAAAAGGATGCTTTGCGTAAAGCAATATACAGAACAAAAAAAGAAACTGCCTTGCACTCGGACTCCAAACAAATATGCTTAAGTAGTAGGTGGACTTACTTTACACTGTTCGAGAAGCACACACTAGTTTACTGAAATGCAAAAATGACCAGCAAAAAAAAAAGGAAAAAAGAAATAAAAGCCGAACATTTGGTTCGTAAGTCATTTTTTTTTTAGTTTATGTGTCGACAAAGATGTTGGGTGTAACGTTTAACTGACACTTAATAAATAAACTCATCAATTATACCAGGATTGAAATTTTATAGTTGCGCCAGACGCGCGTTTCGTCTACAAAAGACTCATCAGTGACGCTCGAGTCAAATAATGTTAAAAAGGCCAAATAAAGTACGAAGTTGAAGAGCATTGAGGACCAAAAATTTCTTAAAGTTTTGCCTAATACAGCTAAGGTAATCTATTCCTGAGGTAGAAAAGCTTTAGTATTTAAAAAGTTCAAAGTTTTGTTAACAGTTAATTTATAATTATAAACATATCAATGATAACTCAAGTCAACACAGAAGTGTAAAGAGGTATGCAGACCTATTTGGAAAAAAAATTTCCTGCAACCTGTACGACATTCCCCAAACACATTCTTATAAAAAATTGAATTACTGATAAGAGTGAAACTATAGTACATGGCCCCGCCATAAAGATAAATTTTAGATATTATGAATAGTTTTTCATCAAACTAATATTGCAAAATGTAAATACATGTGGGAAAGATATTTTCAATAAAATTAGACGTATGATTTACAATTCCAGGGGTATCACTGGCAGAAAGAATGAATTGTAACATCGGAAAAGGGAGACTAAAATCAAAACTCTCTTTATCCTGGTCTCCACAAGAGTTGATAAAATTCATTATCAGTCAATTACCTGTACTAAGAGGACGCAGCTACGAGATGCTGTACTCTGTGTCTGGTGGCGCTTTAAAAAAATTTCCAGAGGAGATCAACACACAACTGGATGAAAGTATTCTTGAGTGGTATAAGGAGGACACCAGGGACCCTTTTTATTAGACCGATAGAATTTTTGGTATTGACAGGGCATGTGCAGGTATGAAGCTAAAGTATTCTTCAAATATAGCTCTATCAACATACTAAACATATACACAGAACGCAGGTAGGTTAATGCCGGATTTTATTAATTTTCTAGGTATCCCACCTTTTTTATTTATTTTTTATTTTGAAAGAAAAATAACTGATTCCAGATTTGTTTATGTGGTACACATTGGTGATACGTCTACCAAGAAAATATTTTCTGCTGTCACACGTGGTGTCTAAGTCGTCACGTGATTATACGAAAAGACTAATTTCCCATATGATTTAGCCTGTAGAACAAGTTCCCATACTAAAAATGTCGCCATGAAATTTCACTGTACGGTAAAAGATACCTTTTACTCCATAAAAACTGCTGATCGCTCACTGATAAATGTTTCCCTTTATTTTAACAACATTAAAACCAGAAATTCACGTCCGTTGTTATGAATTTTATCATAAAAAATACCTCTATTTTCAATTTAACCAAAAATTTATACAAGCGTTCAGCAATTTTCAATAAGCTGACTAATTCTTCTATAAACAACTCAAAGGATTTGAAATAATATTGCCGTTGGTAACTTGTTCTACTCGTTTGTTTGTTGTCCGCATATACCGTCTGAAATGACGCCCATTGCATAAACGCTTTACTGATCGCGGAAGGGAGGTAATTGAGGTAAAACATTCCAAAGTTGCGTTTACGGGAATTTCATAAATGGAAGATAAAAACATTCTTGCGCTGTTGTTTCTGATTATATCATGCACGCATATTTAGAAAATCACGCATATATGGCAATAAATAACATTCGTTAATTATTAAAAAATACCATGCCCTTAAATAAGTACGTTTTGAAAAAAAGGGGGTGGGTGTTTCATCTTCTATATTTCACACACAATGTGAGATCTTCAATATTTCACACACAATGTGAGCATTCTTTCTTGAATATACAATTTAAAGGATTTGTATGGGTTATGCATAGTTTTTAATTTGTGTCATACTGTTGAGACACCATTCTGATGTGTTTTATAGTTTAAAATGACAAAAAGTATCAAAGTCTATATGTAGAAGGTTTTGATCAATTCCTTTCTTACTGACTTAAAAACAGAAGCTATTTCAAGGGTCCTCAATTATCAATTTCCTGGTGAAGTCTTAAATTTTATAACAATAATAAATATTGTGCACATTATGAATGAATTTCCTTGTAAAAACCCAGTCATTCTGCAAATGAAGGGTTTATTAAAATCAGAGACATTATTAGTCATATAATACATGATATTTCTCTCTTAAAATGTGTAAGGGAGCTACCATTTGATTTTTATGGGGGGCTAGGATGAAATTTGAAAAAAATAGGCAGGACAGGAGTTTTGAGTAAAAAAAAAGGCAGGATGACAATTTAGGTTAAAAAAAGTCAGGATAAACTAATAAAAAAAGGCAGGACCGAATAGAGTGAAAAATAAAAAGGCAGGACTGAATAGAGGGAAAAATAAATAGGCAGGACAAAATTTTTCATCCTAGCCCCCCCATAAAAATCAAATGGTAGCTCCCTAAGTTGACCTCAAGAAATCAAATCTGCTGTGAGAAATATGTATCATTCATTATCCCCTGTAACTGCTGAATAAGAGACAGTGGTAAAGCCCAGAAAATATTAAAAATTTTATTTCTTTAACTGCTGAATCCATTTGTCCAAGATTAAAACTTACTTAACTTCTAACACTAAATAAAAAAAGTACATCAAGTACTAGTAGTTAGCCCAAAAATTTAAGAAGGATGATAAAAGAAAACAAATAGCATACAATATTAAAGCGAATTTCTAAAACATTTATTTATCTTTATATACATGAACATAAATGTATACTTTCACTAAAAACTTGCATGTTTCATAATACTCATTGTATTATGATGTTTATGTATCTTGCCAGACAATGGTAAATAAATAATGTCTATACAATGATTTGTAATAAAGCTTTTGATTTTTCAATTCATAATAAAGTATAAATGAATGGTCAAATAATAAATGTCTATTTAAATGTTTTATAAAGATGTCTGATGAATCTTCATATATTTCTGATCTAAATAATGCCTCACACTTTATTTTGAAAATATCAAATCCTGCTACACTAATTTTTTTCATTCAATAAATCCAAATCACATTCAAACCTTTGAAATGTCTCTGTCTTACATGTTCCAGAATCAAATTAGCTGTTGGTTCCTTGTTTGATATCCATTTGTTGTAATACTAAACATTGTTTGCCTTCAATGTTTTTCAACTGGTTTATTTTAAATTCACTTTTTTGTATGCCACAAATCAGCTTTACACATTTTTATTTAAAGCTATCAGTCTGTTTTGACATCTTAGTAATTAATGTCATAAATAGTCATAAACATTTCATTTCTCACAGATTTTAAATCATCACAATATTATAACATGTTTTATCCGACAATTTCCTTTTCTTCAATTTTCCTTTAATTCACATGTAACATGTCATGAATTATCTTATACACAGCTCAGTAATCAGTCTTCTTTGATATATATCAAAAACTAATTCTCACATATATATTTTCTATCATTTCTCTTTTCATGCATAGATCCAGAATCATCTCTGTAGTTTTTATATGATACACAATTTCCTTTTGCTGCATTTTCAAAATAAAGGAAGTGCAGTCTTTTTCTCTCACAGTTTCATTGTGTGGTATAATACCATTGCTTACAAGTCACCAAAGTGCTGAAAATAGAATTGTAAACAATATTTGGATAAAATATACTTGATATATGAGGGTGTGGAGTTTACATACTAGAGAATAATGGACCAAAAAATTTATAATAAGAATAGAGAATAATGAGGTGCTAAAATATAAAGAATAGAGAATAATGGGCAATATGTATAAAGATTAGAGAGAAATGGCCTAAAAAATTAAAGAATACAGAAATGAAGGACCCCCATCCAGACCCTCATATATGATCTGATACAAAATAGTAAGTTTAATTCTATCTTCCTATAAAAAAGCATAACAGTTAACTTGGATGTAACCTTTTAGTTAAAAATACATTTCCAAATTAAAAAGTTTCTTTAAAATAACAATATATATTATATAGTTTAAACTACATAATACTAAAAATTATACTTTCTGAGACATAATCACTGATTAACCAATATGCTTATTTGTATTACTTCATCTGCACTGACTGAATGAAACTGAGGGAAGCATAACAGTTATGTACACACAAAACAATATAATAATATCAATGCTTACATTTTGGAGACCTCTTGTTTGGCATTGTGGAAACTATGTTTTCTCTGGGTATTAGAAATTTCATTCTAATGTGTAGTGATAATCTTTCTACAAAAGAAGAAGATAACTTTACAATCATAACTGGAATATTTCAAGCCCATAACACTCTAAATAGTTGAAAAGTGTCCTCCTAATCTGTACTAGACATCATAGTTACAACAGACAGAACTCATGACAATTTTGATAGTTAATCAATATAATGATAATATGTTTATATCACTTTTTAAAGTGCAATAAATCAATAAATCAAAATTGCTCTATGTATGAACACAAAAAGTGATGAAATAAAATGTTAATATGAGATTTTAAAACATGAATGAAATTAATATTGTGTTTGAAAAATGGTCACATCATACTAAATAATTATAAAAGCTAGTTATTTTTATATATCAAATTCCTACTTATAATGATAATTTACTAAATTTAGACAAGCTATTGGCATGACTGCACACACTGTGCCATGATGTAGTTAAAAAATGCATATGTTTTACTATGATCTCTTTTTCTTTCTTTGACCCCCTTCTTTGTATTTGTAATATGTAAATGATTATACAAATCAAATACCTAAGAGAAAATGGGACATAATCATGATGCTTAAAGAGTAATTTGAAGATTTATGCTCAAAATATATGGAAGTGTTTTCCTCCACAATAATATGATCTAATATGGCCATGGCATGTCAGTCTGACAGCACTTTTTCATAAGCACCCACATTATTTTAACACTAGTAAAGTAATTTTGACTTGCCTAAAATTATACTTTCTATAAACACTGCCTTTCGTCCTTGCCGTTTTTTAAATAGCCAGAAAAACGCCAAATGTGAAAATTAACACCCCTTTTTAAAGAAAGGTACATTTTGATCTAGATGTATAATCTTCCTTCAATGAAATGAAATATACGGCCTTTGGCAGTAAAAGAATATGATAATTTGAAACAAACTTACCTCAAAATAATAGCAATATCCATCTTTGAAACGTGTGTTTACGTGATAAGACACTCATGACAAGGTGCCCGATCAGCTGATGATCACGAAGTATGACGTGATGTGCATGTGCAAGCCCAACCTTGACGTTGATGGAACGATCAGGCCAATCAGATTCCGCGTAGTTTGGTAAATGACGTCAGATTTCGATTTCGATGCAAACACCGATATTCAGTGCCAGTTTTTTTTAAAGTACATTAACCTACCTGCGAAGTACAAAGCCAACACATACCAAGCTAAGAGACATCATGCGGGACACAATGTAAATGCTAATATTTCATTAAAGAAGTTACCACGTTTTGGGATGGTAGAGGACTGGTTGAGGAGAGATAAAAGCCCATTATTGCAGGTCAAATGTGAATTATCAACTGGACAGAAGCACTGAATTTAAAAACGATTTTGTGCAGAATATGGGTAAAAGTATGAAAAAAACTACTAGAATGGACCACCAGTTTGACTAATCAAGAACAAACGCAGGCACACCAATGACGCATTTATTTTTAGAAGCATTATCTACAAATGTTGTCTTAAAGACTGACAATTCTACAGTGATGAATGTTGAAAGATCAGGACAACCTGTTACTCTCGTGAACATTTCTCTTTACGAGCCAGACACTGTACATTGTATTTATATTGATTGATTGATTGTTGGTTGCTTAACGTCCAGTGGCAAATATGTCATGCATATTCAGGACGAGAACAAGTTAACAATAAATACAATAGGTGGGTTCTGTAATAGATTAAGGGATTGAGGTCGGAGAAATTTAGACTGCCACGGGAAATGAGGGTATATTGGATAGGGACAGAAATTTAGCCTTGCAACAGGTCACCTACGGACCCCTCAAAGAGTTGTTGCAAGGGTTCTTAACGTGCAAAGAACGTGGCACTTTCTTCACACGAGGCATCGGATTTAACGTCCCCATTCTGACCGGACGTGGCTGCAAGTTTGTACATCCCGCACAGCCAAACGGACGCCCCACTTTAGAACGGGTTTTACTGCCGGTCGGAGGAAGACCAATGGTGACCATACTTCTATTCCCCAGTCACCCTTGGGGGGCATTGTATTTAGATGTTTCAACGAATTGTTCCACCTGTTGACCATTCCTAGATCACTTATCTCGGAATCAAGAAACTGGCACTTTGAAGAAAGGCTGGATATTTGTTGTTGATTATGGTCTATCTGTAGCTCCATCAAATTCTTTAGTCAGAATGTTCTTGGTCAGATTGGTCAACTTCTTGAAATTTGACAAAGTTTAACAAGTTTCATTTGAAAAGATTGAACTAAACGGACAAGTTCCCGACAACCCAGCAGAACGTCCACATGCATCTGAAAACTTAGCACTCAGCAGACATGGTCCTTTCAAAACCTGTGAAATCTTCAAATACTCCAATGCTAAACCAGGTAGTAGTGAACACATGTTAAATATGGAAGAAATGGCAGAATACGTGATTTCATGTTTGTAAACTGCTCACTTTGGAGCAAAGTCTTTCTTTTGGTTTCGTGGAGTCAAAGAGAATTACATTATTGATGATGACATGGCTTTGCACACTTTCATCAAACGGTCTGAACAAGGCAAACATGAACGTGTTGAAGAACATATCGCAAGAAAATGCCATCACAAAAGTAGGGAAAATAAAAGAAGCATTTAAAGGAAACTACATTGCAAAGCCGTTTCTAATTATTTGTTTGACCAGAAATGGACAAAGTGACAAGTTCTAGTGAATTTGTCGAACAAATGGTAACATTTATTGCAACTGGGTTATACTTAATCAGTTATGTTAAATATTGACACATGAACGCAATAAAATTCCTTTTCTTCGGACTTCATCCATCATCTTTGAAATGAAAGGAAGTCAATGGACAAGCATTTATCTGAGGTTCAGGCAAAAAAGAGAAAGAGAGAAACAGCATCAAATACAAAAAATATTTCTAGGGGGAAAAGTGAATCTCGCATGGGGTATGGCAAATGGTTTACCTGCTCACCTGAGGATTAGGATGACAGGACAATAAATATACAGTGTGGCTGGCTGAAAACAGACAAAATGAGGCGTTAATCTTAAGATGAATTTAACATTTACTGCTATTGTTGATCCTTATCCATTTCCCAAAGAAAAGAGACAGTTTGTACTTTTTTATTTCCAAAATTCTCTGATTGTTGGAGTGATTTTGTTTGTTATAAATAAACTTGAAATTGATGTAGGTATAAATTCATTGTGAAAAAAACAAGTTTCTCCGACTCACTTAATATATATGTACAATAAGATTTACGACTTCTCATCTCGCATGTCACCAGTTTAAAATATTCCTGCACTAATCATTTGATTATTTATTCCAATGGACCGAACTTATCCCAAGTTAGTAACCTGTACCAAGTGATATGAATATTAGTATATCTGGTGGATAGGTTGATCATACCATGTTTTTTATTCTTAAAGTGTTTTTTTTTTTGACTTTTTTAAAATTACTAATGGAGTTCACACGTTTGGGTCCAAATGAAAAGGATGGTAGATTAGAGGATGTCTTTTACAGTGGTTTTGGACAAGTTTATTGGGTCCAACTGTTTCACAAACTAAGTCTAAGAAACTCTTCCCACAACTGAAAGAACAAGTAAATCAAATTGTTCTACTAAGAACAGAAGTGGAGAGAAAATGTAAGTTCAAATTGATTAATAACAAATTGTCATGTAATAACTTTTTTTTAAATGTAAGAAATGCCTTCAACTTCTCCATTGTACATTGTATGTTGCTTGCATGATTATTTGTGCATCATTAGCGCTCTAACTGGTACAATCTTTGTGACATTTTTATCTAATTTAGATGAGCAATGTCTCTCAGTCTGGAAAAAATAGAAAATCCGAGCCGATAAACAAGTTTTAAGAGATATCCTCTAAAAACAGCAGTTTAACCTTTCTAAATGTCCACAATTTTAAGTGATGGTTAACACCATTAATAGCAATGGGAAAACCAAGTCATATAAGATACACCAGATTCTCCAACAATTCAGAGAATAAGTACATTAACCTTACCAGTACCAGTAGAACAAGTGAAAGTGTAATACACACCAGGGGGTGTACAAATAAATGAATTGAACAATTATTTCAGGAGGCAGAGTACAAAGTTCCTTCCAAGATTTATCATTTGAAAAAAAAACGGTGAAGTAAACTACTTTTATAACCAAAGCTGAAAAGGAAGTGGATAAGCACATAAAAAGCAGCAAAGACGATGAGGAACCAGATTTATATTATTTGTTAGTTAAACCAGCAGAATTTATTGTAAGGGAGAAAGTACAATAGCATGATTCAAATGGCGTGTTAAAGTGTCTTCAATTTAGATTATCCTAGAAAATATAATCAGTGCATAAGATTTTGGCAACAGTATGTTTAAGGAGGTGCTTTTACAGGTTAAAAGTGTGTAAAATATAAGAGTTTGTGAGTACAATAACAAGTTACATCTAATTCGTGGGAATAAGGAGAAAAATGAAATTAGATTTTACTCATTAGAAAGAGATATTTACTGTGGGTTTTTTTTACAACATTACACCTATCTCACATTTAAAAACAGTTTATAACCAAGACATAGTATAATGTCAGTCCAACTTTTTACCTTGTCATTTTTACTGTTTGAAGGTAAGCTCAGACACTCCAACAGGAATTAATATTGCTTGTCCATTATCAAGGACTTATTCAATATAATCATAAACCTCTGTTACATCTGTAAAATCAAGCACACAATCATTTCATCGAATACAACTGTCAATTTACATCTCCAATATATGTGTGATTTGTGGTTCTTCTTTATTCAGATTGACATTACAGATCATCTTCTTGTAGGTTAACAGTAATCGTGTGTTCCATTAATTGATATGTACATGTTGCTATTTGAGAAAAAAAAGTGTTAATAATCATTAGGAATATAATAATACCCCTTTAATAAATATAACTATTACAAGGATTGTTACCTTTGTCCGTATTTAACGCAATTCAAAATAGATCTACACTTACAATTTTTTAAATGCATATCATTAAAATGTGTACATGTATGTTTCTATAATAACGTAGAGATTGTGAGGAAAAAGAAAACTGAATAACTTGGAAACACAAACCAGTAAAAACTTAAAACAGATACAATGCGGGAACAACCAGCCCTTTCGAGTAGGAAACAGAATCCCTCCATATCTAGCAAGAGACGATGACTCTTCCTCAAGGACAGAAAAAAGCTGTCCCCACCGGAAAATGAAGTAACCTATAATTTTAATGCCATTCACCTTTCAAGATCGGCAGATATTCATATTGGTTAAAAGGATATAATATTAAAATGTACATATATTTAGTTAAGGGTTCAATTATGAGTTTGACGTGGGATTCAAAGGTTCTGTTTTTAGGCTGTAAAGGCAATAGTAGAATACCATTGTTCAATAGTCCTAAATCTATTTAACTAAAACAAATCCGGGTCACTAACCAAAACTGAGGGAAACACATCAACTGTAAGAGGAAACAAAACGAAACAACCGAAACACTGAACTGCTACATAATACAGTTGATAACCTGTTATCAGCAAAGACTAAACCAGATATGGCAAGACGACAAATTCAAAATAAAATTAGTGCAAAAAGATTTTTTGGCCCTTTCAAAACCTTTGACAGATATGCATTTATCCCTTATTGGCCTATCCGAAAAGAAACTGCCTGTGACATATAGAATGATACACCACTTATCTTTCTCTGAAGGGTCATCAATCAACGACAGCATACAACAAGACAAATGAAGCGTACAGTATGTTTCCATTCAAGAAGCAATGGAACTGATAATGATCGTAGGAAGATAAAGTTTTTGTGCACAAACTGACATTTCCAGTGCATTTAAAATCATAAACATAAAATAATCACAATATAACCTGTTTTGTTTCATGTGGGATGGGAAATACTATTACGATTAAAATTTGCAAATGGGCTGTAGTTCCAGTTGTCATTTTTTTTAATATTAGCACAGTACTTCATGATAGTTGACAAAACTGAAGATGGATGAAAGAAAAAAAAGATTGTTTCCTTGCGATATAGAG